GTCATCATCCGCTCAGTTCTCTTCTTCGCTCTACTTCTACTTCTGTCCCTCACGTCTCTCCATTCCTTCCCTTACAACTCTCTCTCTCTCTCTCTCTTTTCTGATCTCTTCGTGCGGCAAGTTTCTTTCTCTTTGTCCGTTTTTCACAGTCTTCTTCTCTTCTCTGCTCTCCTCTCGTCTCCTCTCCCCACTTGTTGCGATGCCTGGCGCTTCTTCCCTTCTCCCTCTTCTTTCGCCGGACTCAATTTTTGTTCGAGAGGATGGGTGGACCCTCCTTGCTGGTGCTCTTTTCTGCGATGCTGCGACTCCTAACCCGTATAGCGGGACTGGTGGAACTCCCAACCCGAGAGGATGGTGGGACTCCTAACCCTTGTGGTGGGGGACTCTTAACCCGCGTATAGTGGCACTCCTAACCCGTGTAGTGGGATTCCTAACCTGTATAGTGGGACTCCTAACCCGTATAGCGGCGGGACTGGTGGAACTCCCAACCCGAGAGGATGGTGGGACTCTTAACCCTTGTGGTGGGGGACTCTTAACCTGCGTATAGTGGCACTCCTTACCCGTGTAGTGGGATTCCTAAGCTGTATAGTGGGATTCCTAACTTTTATAGTGGGACTCCTAACCCGTATACCGGGACTCCTAACTCGTATAGTGGGACTCTTAACCCGTATAGTGGGACTCCTTACCCCTATTATGAGACTCTCCATTTTCCCTTGCGAGTATGGGAACTCCTTCTTTGATCTCTTTTCTGCGATGATGGGAGTACCTTTTTTTTTTTGCACTCTAATTTCTGTTTTCTCCCTTGTGCTCTCCTCTCTTTTCGCCCTTCTTTCCCTTGTTTATTCCTCTCCTCTCACGCATCCTCTTCTCCTCTCTTTGATCTTCCTCTTCCCCTCTCTACCGGTAGTCCCGTCTCACCTCTCCTCTCTCCTCTCTTCTCTCTTGCTGTCGTTTGCGCGTTTGCCTCTGATCGCTTGTTGGTATTCTTAAGACCGCAATCAGTGGAATCCTCTATAAAAAAGCGATATAAGTAATTCTTGGTAATGGTCCCAGACAGTCCAGCGTCATTCCGAGTTGTTTGTGAGTAATTCCCGGCCTCATGATTTTTTTTTTTTTTTGGGTAATTAGACCTCATGATTTTCATTCTTGCTTTTTCCAGGAAAAAAAAAAAAAAAGAATCCTCTAAATGTTTTTAATACTTATTATAATGGTTAAGGGGTTGGTGGTGTGGAAATTACCGAGTAATTCAGTAGAACTCACATCTTCGTCGACAATATACACACACGTGCAGATGAATTAATTAACTCCGATTTTTCTTATGGGTACGGGGGCCGGGGGAAGAGGAATCGTGGTCAGGTGTATGCTTTTTGTTTTGTTTTCCTTTCTTTTTCTTCAGCGATATGTGTCTCTTTTAATTCCCTCCCTTTCCTATCCCCTCTCTCTCCCCCCCTCCTCCTCCTCCTCCTCCCCCCCTTCTCTCTTCCCCCGATGCCCCTGTTGCCCTTTAGACTGTCTTTTCCCGCCTGTTTCATCGTTCAAGCACAATTTTCGTCAAAGGGTTATGGAAAGCCAACGACAGTTTCCGTTTTTGGGCTGATATTGATGTCAAAGGTTCACATTCTCTTTTTTTTTTCTTTTTCTTTTCATTTTTCATTTTTCATATTTTTTCCACTTTTCTTTTTCTTTTGAATCGTTTGCTCCTCCTTGGAAAAAAAAAAGGGATAGTATTAATTATATGCACAACACGTACACATCAACAAATGCACCGAGTCCAGAGCCTGTTCGTTGTGTGTGTGTGTGAGTGCTGACGACAACATCATATATGGCGTGTTTTTTTTTTTTGTGTGTGTTGACGAGAACATTGTAGATAGTGGGCCTCATTCCAGGACTTGTCAGATGTGAAAGTTCGGAATGCATCTTCCCACGTTCTACGGCAAGATGCATTCGCTATTTCGCATTCGGCGAGTAGTTGAACGAGTCTTTTTGTTCGTTGTGTGTGCGTGTTGTCTACAACATCAAACGTTGTGCTTTACATTGTGCGTTTTGTTATGAGCGTGTGTTAAACTCTATAAATAGCTTATAATTTCACCTTTTTTTTGTTTTTTTTTTGTTTTTTTTTTGTTTTTTTTAACATTTGAATCTGTGAACTGTAGATACAAAATTGCAGCGCTGTCCTTCGGGACATCCGTTAAAATTGGAACAATACAGAGCAGATTAGCATGGCCCCTGCGCAAGGATGACACGCATAAATCGAGAAATGGTCCAAAAAATAAATAAAAATAAAAAAATTGCAGCGCTGCGTATATTCGTGACTGCCTCCCTTCAGCTCCTGTCTGGGTCGGTTTCCCTCCCCGCTTACCTTCGTCCCCCGAATACAACGTACGGTCATTATAGCTGTACGTAGACTGAAAGATACGCCAAATACAGCTAGACTGACCGTACGTTGTATTCTAGGGAAGAAGGTACGCGAACGGGCGGAGATCGGCATGGAATCGAGGAACGGGATCGGGATTGTGAAACGGCTGGTGAATTGTGTTGACGTCAATAGGTATATGTATCTGTTTGTGACGATATATAGATATATATATATCTGCCGAGGTGGGGGCAGGTAAAGAAAAAAAGAAGAAAAGAAAAAGAGAAAAAAAGAAAAAAAGAAAAAAAGAAAAAA